TACTATAATCTATTGAGTGATATGATATAAAATGAAATTGGGTGGTCATTCTATCTGAATTAAGTATTGTGCTCTCACACCACCTTACAGTTGTCACTTGGGAGTGAGTCATAGATTTAAGGTGCTCTGAATTGATCCTGAACACGTACTTAGCTAGACTGTTGTGGAGAGCCATTGGATGAATGTGAGCTAGACAGTCATACAAGCCATTGCACATTGGGTACAAATGTCTCAAAGTGTTATTAACAGAATGTAGATCTACTTCCAAATTAGTATGGTACAGTTTCTTGGATGCAAGGACAAGGCAAATCATGATACGCATCACAAGCCAAAAACTTCTATCTACCAATTCTAGCTTATTGCAATCATAGGGTACCTATTCTGAGACTGAATCAGATATTCAAAGCCAAAACTGGATGCCATGACTGTTAATAAGGCTTCACAAGGTCCACCTATATGCCAGATGCCCAATGAGGTGCAATATGCTCACAGCAAAGCATAAAACTATTCACCTTAAAGGGGGCCAAGAGTATGTCATTTGTAACAACAACATTTGGAACAGTATTCTTTTTGAAATGAATGTACTTCACCTTTGCCACATAACAGAATTCAGTCTACTAAATAATAATGCTCATTCCCACAATACTAAACTGGTTGATACATTCCATAAAGAATAGGAGATTAATCAAATGTAATGGCCTGCATGATCATCAAACTTCAATATTATCAAACATGGAGAGGATGCTGCTGTGCATCCCAACTCATCAAGTGATTTTAAACACTAATATTTGCCTGAAAATGGCTCTTTTAGAGTTGTTGAGACTACATCAGGATCCTATAAACTATATAAGGTCTCCTCTACTAAATGTGTTTTTACAAACTGAAGACAAATTACCAACCATTTGCATTTTATATCATACGATAGATCATGAAATGCCCATAATTTGTATAAAAATTCACTGAGGGGATGTATGATTTACATTGTTTTGTAGCAGTTATTTTGACTTGACATAAGATAAATTAGTATAAGTTTCAATTATCCTTTAATTCTCTTATATAGTGTACCTCAGTATGTTCAGATACACAGTTTCAAACAAACAGTAAACTGTATCCCTTAAGCATGTCTTGAGATGCAGTTGAATTTCATGAAAAATATAGTTAAGAAACGGAAGAAAGGAACATTAGGTTGAAGGGATATTGGTACTGTCAGAGCAGCTTTTTTCTTCTTTTGTTTCAAACAGTTAATCTTTATGATGAAAGACAAGTAGGCTGCTTAACAAACGTCTGTACCAGTTATTTTTTTGTGTGCATGTGTATCTTATTTAGTTGTATGTAAAAGAAGTTTAAAATAGAATGCCCCACTTACTTAGTCAGTCATAAACATTAATGACAAATTGGCTAAGCATGTGCAGTTCTGAAAGGAATGTTGATAGCTTGCATCATACAGAATATATGATAATATGCTAAGGTTAAGTGTTCTAAAGAAGTCTCCTGTAATCTATTGATGAATCTGAATTAATTTGTGTTTCTAGGACATTTAGAAGTAAAATATTTATTTACTAGAACAAATGCAAACATCCCTTGGAAGCACATATGAATTTAAGTTTTTTGAAAGTAAACTTTTATTGATTTAATTTAACTTTTTGTAATTCAGACAGATGAGTGGGAAGAAACTGACAGGAAGAAAGGATCACAGAGAAAGTCTCCTGGGAGTGGTGGAGATCAGTTAGAAATGAAAGTATGTTATTGCATTTCTATTTATTTCTAAATGTCATAATATAAGTAGAGCATTCTATTATACACAGTAATGAGAAGAAATAGACACATATCTTTAATGTTAAATTGTAATTTTTTTTCATATTTCCCCACTTTAAAGAAAAAAAAACAGTGATGGGCAGAGCACAAATAGCCCATTGCATAGCTTTATGCTTAACTTCAAACAACAACAACTTTTAAAAAAAAAAGTCATTATGCATAATTCAATAAAACTTAATTTTTTATATTTTACATCTTGGGATGTGATGATTTGCCATTAGGTTTCATTGTAAAAGATGGAAAGTAAATGTTCAGAACAAGAGAAAGAGCACAACGAATATGATGGATATCAACACTTAGATATCTGTCATGTCTGGGGCTGGGAAAAGATTTAGATTGTAGTTACCTCACTGCACTTTAATATAACATCTGTGGAAGAAGTTGTGTGTGTGTGTGTGTTACATTAAATGTTATTGATAAAGATGGCATTCTGAAACTTGAAAGATTTTTTGCTATTTTATGGATCATAGATCAAAATACCTTTTTATATTGAATACAATGTTGGTTGTTCTGATTTCATCATTGGCATACTGGGGCACTTACTAGCAGATTATTAGACCAAACACAGCATTATTCCATGTGTGAATTCTTCGTGCTGAAAGGAATACCTAGTATACATGACTAGTTTGTCTAACTGCATAATTTATATATATTCACATATTATTTCTGAAAGATATTGTGGCTTCCAGTGGTAATAAATTACACAGTTTGCAGAACATTGTTTACCTGTGCTTGAGGGCAAATTAAGCATTAAGATTGTCTTGGATATTCAGTATCTGGCCTGTTTTTGGCCAGTTATTGGTACCTATTCAGGAACCAAACAATTTATATTTTCATATTATTTACCAGGAACAATATAACCTAAGATCTAATATAGACACTAGAAAGTAGGAGGTTATAAAGAACATACAGAAGGAAGGCTAATTAACTTTATTAATGTAGAAGAATAATAATGCTAATAAATTTGATCTTGATTTTTAGTAAAGATCACAAAACTTTTTAAAATCAATAAGACATGTTTTGTGTTTTAATTTTTATATTTTCCAAAACATATGAACCTGCTTTCTCATGTAAAATGAACACTTCTTATTAAACTTTGTGTACTGAAATAATTATAGTGTGGTAAGTGAGTGTTATGGTTTTTCTTCACAGTTATTTTTATCAGTGTAATTAAGTTTATTTTAACCAATCTTTAGTAACTCTACTTGTAAAGGAGCTTAAATTTAATTTTTTTTAATATGAAGGCACTGTTTCTTATTAATACACATTCATCAATTAGTTATAAGAAGAAGAAAAAAGCCACACAGGTGAATCTACCTTATAACACTAAATATTTCGACTTGATACCCACAATGGACACAGTGCAGATAGCCCATTTTGTAATTTTATGCTTAAAAACAAATGAAATTGTCTATAAACAATTTAGATGGCATAGGTATTTTTGTTTTGCATTTTTATAAAACTACATTATATCGCAATAAGTTTGTCACATACTATTCACTTTCTGATTAGTATTTCTCACCGAAATACACTCATTCATTTCTTAATTTCAAAGAGTTTGAAGTTTAAAGAAGCATTGGACATGTTCGTACATGACTGTTCTTTCATCTCAATAGTTAAATATTATTGTAGACACTGGAAAGGGCTAATTACAATATGAATATACACTTGGAATTATTATATGATCCTTTATTAAAATATTGTTATTTTATTCTACTGAGTCTGTAATTTTTTTAGCCATTTTCTAAAATTACATATAATCATCCATAGTTTTCATATGCTGTGAAACTAATGAAACTTTTTAAATAAATGTATCAACTGATCAGTAGCTGAACAGTCAGTTATTCAACCCAAGGAGTTGAAAGGATATCTGGTATCTATACAAACCATCATCTGTATTACTGTTAGTCATCCTTTTGACTGTAATATGCCAACACTATCATATAACAAAAAAATGCAAGCCGTATGGACCTATTACTTCAAGAGGCCTATGTTTAACTGTAGGCAAATGAATATGTTTGCAATTGTGTATTAGAACAAAATAACATTATTATAGTGTGTGTGAGTGGGCATCTTGTTGTTTTTCACCAAATACAGTGCATGTTTGCAGTGGGCTGATTTTTTATTTTTGACACTAACAATGACCAAAATAAGCTGGTGTTGCAACTCCTCTCTTCTGAATATAGATATAAATAATTTTTAGTTGTTAATGAAGAAGAATGATACATATGGTAATATTGGTGAATATCTTACTGGACTTTTACCAACAAGTTTTTTCCCAATGAGTCAATAACTTAGGGTAATAAAATAAAATTGTAGTGTAATCTATAGGTATATTGACTGGATTTATGTTTTGCTCCTGGTAGTAATAATAATAAATTAATTTCATTATAAGTTAAATTGCATTAAATTTGTATAATTTCTTATAGCAGATGTATCATTTTATAGTATAAATGTTAATCCATCTTTAGAGTTTTTTGTTATCAGTTTTATGTTAGTTACATCAGCTTTGAAATTTCAGCTTAAAAATATATTTATGTCTTAAATGAGACAACAAGATTATTGTGTCACCTCTGAAGTATTACTAGGAAACATACGAGATCAAGCTTGTATTAACTTTTTATAAGTTTATCCATCATGTTTAATCACTAGTATCAGCCTCAATGCTTCTTGTAAGAGGGCCTTTTTTTAGGTAGTTTATTATACATGAAATTTTAGTCACAGCAACAACAGCAACAAAGTTTTGCTGAAATTATCTTTCAACTTTTGAGCTGTTATGTGTAGCTATTTAAGACAAATTCCATATGAGTGTAAATTTTGTCTTTACTGTTAGTAGCATGTTTGTTGGAAAGAAACTCTTGTGAGTAGTCTGTTTAACAATTGTTTTTTTTTATTCTTGTACAAAAAATTATAAATGAATATTGTAGAGTTCATCAATGGATTTTACTAGTTTTCTCAAATCTGCTATAGTAGTGACCCAGATACCTATCTATGCAAGAGTTCACTAACGTAAGAAATTTAATATCTGTAAATATAAGCTTGAGCTAATATGTTGCTACTATTACTTAGTTGGATTTGCAGTATGTTGATTTCTTTTCTTTCCTAGTTCATTCGCCAAAGACTTCAACGAACCAATAAGAGCAGTTTTGGCCAGGGAAGCTATAACTCACTCCAGAGGCTCAGTCCTTTCCAAGGGGACCATTCTGCTATATCACTTTCAACCCTCACTGGCAGCAATAATGGTTCTGTCTGCCCCTCTTTGCCGTCCACAACAACGCTACCATCTAGCACTTCACCTTATCACCACTTACACAGCAAAACAGTGTACAGTGTGCCCATGGGGCCAGTTGATAGGTCTCACACGGGCCCTATTCCAATTCCCCACATTCCAAAGGCCCCTCTTCCCCGCATTCTTAGTAGTGTTGAAGGTTTAAATCAGGTAAGTAGCAATAATTATACAGTCTTATATTAGGAGAAATGCAGATGATCCTTTAATTGATCTAATGAAAATACTCAGGAATGTAATTCTGACGTTATCATCTGATAAGTTTGAGAACTTTAATGAACTGCAACTGCATGTTGAAAAAAAAAGACGACAACATTTTGGCATCTATACTGATGCCTTCTTCCAGATGTTAAAATTTGATTTATATTCTTTTTTGTCTTTCATTTGAAACTAATACAGCAAAAGTGTATAATTGAATCGGTGATTGGTGCTGTTATGCTACAGTTGTTTATTTGTGTAAAATTGATGAATGTAGTTTATTTTAAGTACTTTCTCTAATACAATTTCTAAGTGAAAGCAAAGAAGAATATGTTATAATGTGTCAACCATGCTATGTCTGTCATATCCATTCCCAAAGAGGCCTTTCATCCAATACCAGAGCTCATTAAGCCAGCTGGGATATGACATACATAGTAGTGGTCAAGATGCAATTTATATCATAAATTTTCTTGAACATTGACTATTAGTGTTTGTACTATATTAAGTAAATTGTAATTATTATAATTTTGTTTATTTAAGTCATTAGCAAAAATGTATAAAATGAAATGTATGAAAGCCAAAATGTCGTCTCCTTTTCTTTCAACAGGCAGTTGCAGTTTGCTAAGATTCACAAACCTACCATATCTACTCTGCTCAAAGTTCCACTGAAACAACATTATTATCTGATGTTATTATAATCATTGTGTGTTGTAAGTCAGATACATGTAAGCAGATGAACACTAGTTCATTCTGTGCAACAAACTAACTTTCATTGGTGCCACAGTTTTGCCATGAGCTGGTTATATGAACTTGTGTTAAGATCTAGTGTTACATTTCTTAATTGGCTGTGAGCTATCATGAACTTTACTAACTAGAAAGCTTGTTGACTAATTGGAGTTTTTGATGTGTTTCATAGAGTATTACATATGCCACTATGTTTTTGCAAGCCATCGTGTATTATTAAGTACTTTTGTGAATATCTACTCGATGATGTCTGTCATGATATAAAAGACTGTTTGGCATAAATATTAGTGATTAATTTATATTTGTGAGTGA